TGGGGGGGGGGGGGGAAGAGAAGATTTGTTTCTATTGTGAGAGTTCTACTTTTCTAATTATCGTTTTGCTTCATTGAATTATTTGACTCATTCTATAGCAACTTCAGAAATTAAATACTCACCTGAATGGTTCATTTCTATTGTCTTTCTCCAAGCAGCCATCCAGATTTTGATGAAGTCCTGAGTTTTATGATAAGCTGTTCTTATAAGCTTGGCTGTTACTGAATTAACTCAATTCCTGCCTTTCTAAATGTAGGAGTATTGCTGCTTTTAATATACAGCCTGTCAGGCTAATGCAGAAAAAAATGGTGAGAATGCATGGTACAAAAAAATGTTCAACCAAACTAGCAGGGATGTAATTTTTGGCAGGAGAGTTTAGGGCAAAATAGTAACAGATCAGAGATTCAGGTCAAGATTTGATGCCTTTGGAAAATCTATGCTCAATCTTCCGAACAACACCTGAGAAAACTGTCTAGTAAATACTTAATTTCTCCTTCCAACTTTAAAATCTACCCATTTATATCTTCTTTATGAGATGGGAATGATATATTATGTTGCCTTTCAACAACTGTCTCTCTGAAAGAGAGGAGTGTCACCTAAGCCCTCTCTAGAGTCCCTCCAAAGAGCAATTCTTCCCACTTCAAGTTGGATGTCAACAAACAGTTCTCTGAAGACTCTTCATTCACTAACTTGGTCACCTTGACTTTTTGAGTACTGAAGTTAAATCCAGTGAATTTCACCCTTTGTACTGAACTCTGTTACTACTTTCAAGAGAAATGCAATTTTCTCTGGGTTATTCGAACTGTTTGGCTGCCAAATACAGCACTATTGATTGCTATTGTATTTGATCTTTGGCCATGTAGATATTGCAGAAAGTTCATGTGTTCTCTGATTGAGGGAGAGAATTGGGAACCTTTTGTTCTGCATACTCAGAAACTGCTTTTCTGAAGGAGGTTTGCAAATAGAAAGGAAAAGCTACTAGAAAATCCTGTTACTAATTTGCTTCTTTCACCTATGTGGAAAGTCATGTTTTTGTGTTTGTCAGTTGAAATGTTGGGGATGGAAATACAAAAGTTAACCTTGCACATGTTAGATTTTCATTAGAAGCAAGTCATTGTCCATGACCTGGTTTTTGTTGATTCCACTCTCCCACATCTTGTACTAGCAAACATCAGATAACACACTCCTACAGGTATTTAGCAGTTGTGAAACCAAGTTGTGATGCCCTGTCTTAATATCCTCTCCTGCAAGGAACTGAGCTTACAGGCAGTTTTCCTATTAGCAGTATCCAAAGTAGGACTTTGTTGGGGTTTCTCGTTGGAGTGTGGGGATCTGCCCTGTGCAAACCCATCAGTATGTAGTTCTTAAGACAGCCTGGGAAATGTTTAACCAACCATCAAGTGTAGGGATGTCTTGTCCTTGATAATCAGGTCTGTCTACAGCCCAGTTCACTGTGACCCCAGCAACCTGCTGACTGCAGGGGTGGGAAGACCAACAGTTGGGAATACAGGAGCTGCTAGAGGTTGTCACTCCTCTCTATCACATCAACCACTTATCCTCCCTCACTGTTACCTGATGTGCTAATCATGCTATCATAAGCACCTCTGTCTCTTACTTTCTTCCATGATGCTTTTGCCCATCTTTTCCTTTGTCTGTTTCCTCCTCCCACGTATTTAGCAGGACAGTCAGCCTGCTGGGACATACCTTATATCTAAATAACCTGCCAGATCAAAGCACACCACTGCTTTCCAGCAGGGAGATCTGGTGTTTTATGTTGACCAGCCAGTGACAGGCTCTGTATGTGTTCCCATATGCTGACTACCCCAGGAGGCAGCAACCTCAGCTTTTCAGTGAGTCAAGCAGCAGCTTTCAACTTTATCAAGCCACAGAATGGATTGTTTCTGGCTCAGAGCTAGGACAGCAGGTTTTGGAGTGACTTCTGAGCATAGCAGTGTGTTCTCATCCAGTGTGGCATTGCTGTCTGGCTTCTGAGGAGGCAGAGCTCATGGAGAAGGACAGCACCTTGTTCCTGAAGCTAGTTGGCTCTTCACAGAGCAGTGTTTGGTGGTTGTGCCAGCTTGCCTGGGGGTAGTTTGTGTACTTGATGAAGTACTCAAACTGAAGAGTGGAATGGAGAGTGAATTGAAGAGTAGATGACAGAGGGTTGACATTCTCCAAGACTGTCTGGCTACCCTAAGACTTCCTTCTTTTTTTTCCTTCCTGAGTTTACTCAGGGTCCTTCATCAAGAAGCCTACCAGGGTTTTAATTGCACTTGGTTGTGCAGGAGCAGAAAAGATGGTTATGAAATCAGATAGTTTGGGACATGCAAACAGCACATGACACGTTACATCAGGTATGACAGTCAATTGTGCTCCAGAATCTTAAACAGAGACTCCTAATGAGCAAACGCCTGTCTACCCCCTCTTGCAGCTACACAGGCTCCCGGTGGTGCCTCCCTGCTAATGATGACAGCTCTACAGCCAGCTGGAGCAGAGCTGCTGTAATGTGACATGTCGTGTCACCACCTCCCCTCTGATGTAAACTGACAACTCCTTGGATCCTGGCGATGTTGTTGTTTGTTTGCCGTGACGGCTGCAGGAGGGTAGAGCAAAGAGGAGGGAGGAGGATGGTGAAGAGAAGGCTGTTTTTTCCCACTGGCCCAAATGCCAAATGATGCACTGCCAGGAATGCATTATCTCAGTCCTAGGGCAACTTGCATTTAGTTTACTCTGCTGTCATGAGTGACCAGCGCTGCATCAATTACTTTACCTTGCAAAGAAGATAAACAATTTAGGTTGTCCAAAGAGATGTGTCTGCAGTGTGTGATGGCAGTCATTCCCCATCAGCGCTGCTGGCTCTGTGTGAAAATAGTCAAACCTGATTTATTGGTGATGATGAGTTAGAAATGTCATGCTTGATCCTTTGAATTCCCATGAGGGGCAGCTGAAGCTGTAGGCATTCAACCCCTAGAGTATTGATGCTTTAAGTTCAATGCCTACATCTAGATTTGCCTTCCCAGTTTTACATAAAATGCTTGAGGGACTTGATGCTTTTTAAGGGTTTTCATTTCTAAGGGCTGTAAGTGGGGCTGTTTGGTCTTAGCCACTTTTTTTGCAGGTCTTTGGACATAACTCTCTGCACACACTAGTACTGTTTATTTCCTGAGTCTTGTATGAAGCCCAGTTGATCAAAATAAGAAGGACGAGCATTCCTGGACTCCTTCATTAAATGAAATTTTAAGAGCTGTTCAAATTCAGTAGCTGAACTCTAGGAATATTTACCCCCATCACAGACATCATTGCTTATTTATGAGGCTGCATTTCAAAGGAAGTCTCTTCATTGCCGATGCTTTAGGAAACCGCCTTTCACTTGTGATAGGTGATACTGAGGAGTTTGAAGTCTTCTTTGCCTCAGCCTTTGCTTTCAGGACTCCCAGGTCCCTGATCCTGCTGGAGGGAGTGAAGTGTAACCCACTGTAAATGGGAAAAAAGCTAAAGACACTGGAAGCAAACTGGATGTTGGAATACAGCTCTGCCTGAGAAATGACCAATGTCGTTGCAAGGCCACTCGCTGCTGTGTTTGAAAGTTGATGAGGATAACAGAAGTTTCCTGATGCCTGGAAAAAGGCAATCCTCACACCCCTCCTTAGGAAGGGCAAGAAGGAGAATCCAAGGAACTACAGTCTAACATTCCTGAGAAGGTTATTAGACAAATCCTCTTGCAAACCCTTTCTAGGAACATGCAGGACCAATAGGTGACTGAGAGGAACCAAGGGGTGAGTTGTGCCTGATATGCTGACATAATTGGTTTGGTAATTGAGGAGAAAACAATGGAAATTAATTGATATCAGTTTTAGCAAGACTTTCCACACAGCCTCCCATAGTGTCCTTATAGCCAAGCTGTGGAGATGTGACTGAACATGTGCATGATGAGTGGAAAGTTGACTGGACACAATAGTTGACATGAAGTCCAAGTGGCAGCCAGTTAGTAATGGTGTTCCTCAAAGGTCAGTACAGAGGTACAGCTCATATGACCTGGTTTGTCTTCCACATCAGCTCTGCCACATACTTACTGAAGCACTGCAAGGATGAATTAGTGTGACCAGGTGGCCTTCTCTGCCAAATACTGGAGATAGAAGTCATTAGGACCAACAGAATGACTTAAACCCTTTATTTCTATAATCATGAGGAGACTTAGAGACATGCCCTTAGAACCAGAACCTTCCAGTGCCCTTTCTGAATCCTGTCTTCAAAAGCACAGTGTCACTGGGTGATAAAATAGCTTTGAAGGAAGTGAACTTCTTATGTTTGGCAGACTCAAAGGTAGTAAGACAAAACAGAAATTTCTTGCAAAAGAATACATAGGAGTTTTTGGTCCCTTAAAAGGAAATTGAGACTTTTAGCCCCTGAGTTGTCTAAATTAGTCTCAAGAACTCTCAGAACCGAGGGCTGTATCCTTAGAATGAGATGTTTGAAAATGAGGATAAGCTCAATGTTCTTGCTGTGTTTGAAGCATCTTCAGGATGAGACTTTGTGCCATCACACAGTGGTCCCTAACTGGAGCTCCTAGAAGACACTTTGTTCTCATGAACCTCTGATCTATTTTACCACCAAAGGAAGTTTCAACAGAAGAATGAGAATGCCAGCAAAGTGCTATTAGCTCAGTACTGTTGCTAGTGCAGCAGCAAAGATCCCAAGTGTATTTTTCATGGAAATAGTTTCAGCCATAAGGTGTTCTCTGATTTTTGGATCTGATGGCAGAGAAGGGGGAAGAGGAAAGGAAGATTTCTTTGGTTTTAGCTGAAAAATCTTTCTTTTTTTTTTTTGAAAGAACAGGGATTTCTGGGTTGAAACTATTGTGCTTGACACAGCAGTTTTCCAAGTCTCCAATGCTGCGGTGCTGTGCATGCAGATTACTTGCTGCTTACAAGTGGCTGGGAAGATAGGACCCCTGGTATCAAAACATCAATAGGAGCATCAGTAGTTGGTGATTTTTTGAGAGATGCTGATGGAAAAGAGTTTTCTGATTGTATCCAAAGGAGCTCCTTCCAATGGCTATCCTAGAACAGCTCAGATTACATTTGTTTGTGTTAAAAATCTTTAGTGTGTGAAGAATATGGAAAATCTTAGTAGAATCTGGTTTATAGCTGAGGTGCTGCCAAGGCCAAAATGATGTAAAAAATATTCCTGTGGCCAGTACCAACACCTTGGGTTATGGAGGCTGATTGCTGCAGTTACAGCGATCTCCATTTTGCCATCCCTTCTGTTAATTACTATGTGTGTTGCATTCTAACCAGACTATGAAATCAGCCAGTTGTTCATTTTTCCTAGTTTCATCTTTTTCTTTCAGCAGTCACTGTAGTACAATGGGTCCTTTCTGGGCAGGCAAACACAATAGGAAGCACACAGTTAGAAAAAGTCAGCCATCCTTGAATAATACCCATCAGGCAGCTTTCTTAGCTTATAAGAAAGAAGATCAAGAGGCAATTTGATTATAGTGCTTTTGCAGGGAAACAAAACCAGATGCAGTCTTTTCATCCCAGTGGTGAAAGTCAGAACAAGGACAAATAAATGTAAGTTAAATCCAGACACATCCAGATATAAAATGAGGCATAGGCACATGAAGTATAGGTAGAGGTGCTCCTGCTGCCAGGATTCTTCCACTGTGGGAACCATGAGGGGAGGCTGGTGCTTGTCTGGAAGTGATGATTTAGTCCAACCAAAGTTATTGGGGTTCAGGTGAAGGTAACAGAGTGAAATCCTGCAGCTTGTCACAGGAGTCAGACTTATGATGTAATGATCTAGGCTGTCATTAAACTTCCTGGCTGCTGGAGAAGTTAGTAAGGGCAGGAGTCTTTTCAAACACATTGAAAAGAAATATAAACCATTTATAAGTAGATATATTTAAATGTCCATAAGATTTGGTCTTTTGATATTAAGTATTGCCAAACCCTCTTTAGCCAGCTGCCTGTGCAGCTGTTTCATGGGGAAGCTGGGACAACAGTGCTCTGTCCCTGGAAGGAACACTTTTCCATTTTACTTCATCTGTCCAGGTCTTTAAGGGTGTGTGAAAAGTTGGCTCATTAAGTCAGCCATTCACTCAGGTGAATGATTCCTGGATTGTCTCCATGACTCGAGGTCCTTGGTCAGGCACCAAATGGGGTATCAGAGCCTGGTGCCTTGCAGAAATTCATTCAGGTTATGGAAGAGTTTTATGTTGAGGTGATAGGACTGTCTTTTGCAGCATGAGGATGGTTGGACTGGGCTGTTCTCAGACCGAAGTCTCCTTTGGGTTCCCTTTTATACCAATTCATGTATCAGTTTCAAACCCTTTTCCCACACTCCAGTGATTCCAGAAACAACTGTTGGGAGGGAGAGCAGAGAAAGGTGGTGTTTCAGTTGCTTTATGTGACCCAGTGAAACCTTCCTGGAGCCACTGAAACCGTCATAGACTGTGGCATATGCTGCATGTTTTAACTCTCTGGCCACAACTTGTTTTACCACCTCCTCCTCTTCCTCTTCCATATCTGACTATCAGCAGCTGCTTCCCTGCTAGGAATCTGTGAATCTTAATACACTCACAAATGCTTTGTCTTGTTTTTCCTGATGAATATATGTTTGTATTTCATTGCCTCCCATCCACTAATCTTTCTTTCACTCATTCCCTCTTCCTCTTTCGTGTGTGTTACTTTCCTGTCCTCTAAGCACATTTGTAATGCCACAGCACCAGGTGCTCACATGATTGTCTCTTGTCTTGCATTCCTCAGGACGCCTAAGAGATGTTTCAAAACCCTTATCTGACTGTTTACAATAGCTCGGTGCTGCTGTTTAATAAATTATGGGGGTAATTTGTTTTTCAGAGTTCACATCTACAAGGGAGTACAGCTGGGATGTAACTATCTTTCTTAGCCATTTATCACTCAGAAGCACTTCGTATAAAGCACTGAAATAAATGTTTCAGTAGCATAACAAATTTAAGACAAACCTTTCCTTGCACATTTCTGTTCTGAGCTCTAGGGCTGGTTACTGCAGCCCCATTAAACAGCTCCAAAGGCTCCTGATGAGTTCCTCAGGCTTTGTATTGCCCATGTCTTAGAGTGGTGAAGTCATCTGGTCCCTGTATGGCAGAGAGTAGTTTTACCCAGATATTTCTACACAGTGTTTGTATCCCAGTAGCCACAGTTGGCACAATGAGTCTTTGGGATTGTTGGAAGCTGGAACATGATACAAGAGCAGGAAAGATGGCAGTGGAGAAGGCCGAAAGTGGATCAGGGGCTTATAGAGACCATCTGCAGTGCAGCTTAAACACAAAGTGGTGACCAGAAAGCTCTGCAAGGTGTATAAGCATCTTAAGCATCTCATCACACATCAGTCTATGAAGGGAGACTACATCCCTCTCCCAAAAACTGTGCATCCGCTCATAATATGGACTTGCTGTCCTTTGTAGTATCATCACCAAGCCTACTGAGATATTTTTTCCATCTCTTGTAGTGTCTACAGATATGTCCAGTCTGCACATGCATTCCTTCCTGAGTCTTGTCCACACCTGTGATTTATTTCACCCTTTCCTTCCTCAAGTCCTACTGAAATGGAGACACTAAGACCCATAGACCTGCTCTGCCTCCCTTCCCAAGAGAGACACTCTCCCAGAAGTCACTGGGGAAGGTCTCTCCCTAACAGAGGAGAGCCTGGTCTGTAGCATGAAGGACTTGGTTTGATTTGTGACCTGGGGTCTTGTACTATTTTCTAGATACAGAGGGAAGACATACAGGGCAACGGTGAAGATTGTGCGGACGTCGGACCAGGTGGCAGATTTCTGCAGAAGAGTCTGTGCAAAGCTGGAGTGTTGCCCCAACTTGTTCAGTCCTGTGCTGGTGGCTGAAGTCTGCCCTGAGAACTGCTCCATTCATACTAAAACCAAGTACAGTGAGTATCGACCAAAATGCTTCTCAGTGCTCATGGGGAATCAGAGCAGTGGGAGACTGTGTGTGATGAAGAACAGGAGTTGTGTGATACGTTCATACTGGTTAGGATTCATCTCATCTAAGAACAGTTATTTAATCCTGACCAGGCCACCACAGGTTCCCTTAATATTCTGTACAGAGAAACAGGCACCTCCAGAAAACTGTCCCATCTCACTCCATCCTAATATATCTGTTCAAAAGTCTTTACTTTTTTGGAAGTCTTGACCTTTCTTCATGTGTAAAGTTAACACAAGGAGCACATAAAAGGAACTTGCAGTAGTAAACTGAGATTTAAACTGCTTTATCTGAGACAGCTTCATTAGGTGAGATGAATCCTGTCCTACTTAGTGAAGAGTTTCAGGCATATGCACCAGCTCAGGCCATGATGCTGAGGTGCTAGAAGGAGTTTGATTCTTGTCTGCTCAGTTGTTTAAACATGTTCAGGAAGGCTGTTGGCAGATGTGTTCCAACACCTTTTGTTGTCAGTGTTACTGCTATTATTGACTCTTAAACAGGTCAGGAAAGTGCAAGTGGGTTCTGTCCTTCCACGAAGATTGCAGGAAACCAGTATGATTGACTTAAAGCAATTGGCTTCTATTTGGTATCAGAGTGCAAGGAGAAATGGGCTCAGGCAGATACTCAGATCATTGAATATTGGTTTCTGTAGATATCTACACCTGAGATAGACTCCCAGCTCCCACTGGTAGCACATGGAGAGCTGGAGGAGTGCAGCTGAGGGAACTCCAGCTGAGATTGTCTCTCCTCAAAGTTGATGGTTGTATGTGACTGGATTAATTGTTCCTCAAAGCTCCATTGACTTGCTGAAAGGCTCAGTTCAGTTTTGAACTTCGACGTGAGTGCCAAATGCCATTTTAATTGTCACAGGATACCCTAGCTGGTCAAGGGCAGAGTATCTTTCACCCCCAGAGCATGTCAGAAGGCATCTAACACAAGCCCCTAATGTAAGGTGAGAGGACTCTCACATGCCTAATTTCACCTTGGGCCACAAAATAGGTGAAGGTAATAAAGCCCCATTTCTTCATGCATGATCCAGGATAGCTGACTCTCTGCTGAAAACATAAGCAAGGGAAAGTGTGTCAAAGACTATTAACTCATGCAGAAGTGCATTGAATCAAATTTGATACATGTTGGACTCACCCTCCAAATCACTGCTCAGCTTAGTGGAAGCTTTGCCTAAATACATAGGGAGTGTTAAATTCTGAACTCTTCACTCATCATCAGCATATCTGGATACATAAGAGCTAGAACACTCTGTGCTAGTCCAAGATGACATCTTACATTTATGCTAGACATTCTTTCCAAATCAATGTGTTTTAAAGTTTAAAATGCACCTAGAGTGCAGTCCTGAATCTGCAGCAAGAAGCAAGCCAAGGTTTTCTTCTTTTGGTAGTTGAAGTCTTTAATGGTTGTTTTGCTTCATTTTTCCAGCTTATTATTATGGGAAGAGGAAAAAAATCATTAAGCCACCAATTGGGGAAAATAACAACATGAAAAGTGGACATGTCAAGCCAGCCAGACGCAGGAAAAGGCGGAAATCCATCTTTGTGCAGAAGAAAAGGAGGTCATCAGCTGTCGATCTGAATGCTGCAGGCTCTGCAGAGGTATGTGCTGCACTGGGATAAAGGTCATGTGTGGTTTTTCCCTCCTCAGCTGAGTGCTAGTGATTGCTGCTTTGTGCAATGTGAAATCAACCTGATTTGCTTAAATTCCCTCTGCATTTGCTGGAGGGGAATATTTTACTCAGCTTTCAGCTGATTGCTTGCATCTTCACGGCTTGGCCCTCATTTAGGTGGAGTTCTGCTTCATTTACTTAGATTATACCTTCTTCAAAGGAATTTAAACTCATGTTAAGCCTAAATCCACCATTAGCCAAGTTTTTCAACTTTCCAGCCAATGTAACTATCTTGGTGTAAAGTTGCTCTTTCACTTAGGACCTGAGCATATGGCTTGGATGCATGTGCACACTTTGATCAGAGCTAAGCTGTCAAAGCCATTTGGGCAACCGATGCATATATAAAGTTCAAAATGCACAGTTTCTCTCAGTTGGTGTGTTCTTGCAAGCTCTGTGTGACAGAAATAACAAGAATCTGGTATGATACCCTTTAAATGGAACTTTGTGCTTCACCTTCAGCAGTTAGGGGTTGGGCTGAAAGCAGGGAAATCTGGGTGAAATCCTCTGTCCTGGGTGGTACAGAAATGTCAGCTAAGAAATCAAGTAGAAGTATGGACTTGTATATCTATATATTTTTTAAAGGCACCAAATTTTCCTTCCTTTCAGTACCAGTAAGACCCACAAAGATTTGAAGCAGGGTGAAGATTTAAACCCTTTAAATAGGCTTTAAATTCACTCCTATTTCTGACTTCATTGCATCTCAAGCAACCTGAGTTTCATTTTATCCCCTTAGTGTTTTCCCTTTCCTCTTGTCCTGCACATCTGCAGTGCCACAAGGTTTGAGGTACAGCCCAACAGAGGAACATTTCATGCCAGATGAGTTATTGCTGTTGACCTTTAGTTAGAAGGAGAAAAAGGATTTTCCATCATGTATTTTTTTTCTTGTAACAAATCTAAACCGAGGGCTAATCTGCTTAGCGCTGTAATGAAAATGAGATAATTTGGTTAAAATAAATGTTACCCTGGCCCAGCATGGGCATGGGCAGGCAGCTTGACCCAGTGCCTTTCCATTTGCTGCTGTATCAATCTGTGAGCTTGGATGGTGTTTCTCCATGGTTCCTGTGCAGGAGAGCGAAGATGATGAGCCAGATGCGATGGAGGATGAGACGGGAAGTGAGGAAACCAGCTCGGAGCTCCGAGATGACCAGACAGATACCTCCTCTGCTGAGGTCCCCTCCACCAGGCCCCGGAGAGCTGTCACCCTGAGGAGCAGCACTGAGTTGGACAGACCTCCCCCCACGGAGAGAGCCCGGCGGAGCCGGAGACCTCAGCCCCACTCCTACAGCGAGACGGAGAAGTGCACACAAGTCAAGGAAGTGAGTGTGTCCACAGGCTTCACCCCCAATTAACAGCTGTATTCCTCCTAAATTAACCTCCAGTGCCAAACCTTCCTCATCTCACCAGGGCATCCCTGCTCTAGTTCTCCACACAAGGGAGTTTGCTTTATTTTTTTATTTTTTTATATTTTTTTTTGTAGGAAATTAAGCAAGAAGAGGAAGAGAAGCTCATCCTGGACAGTAATCCGTTGGAGTGGACTGTGACTGATGTTGTGAGGTTTATTAAACTGACTGACTGTGCACCCCTGGCCAAAATATTTCAGGAACAGGTAGAAGTCTTTCCATAACTCATCTCTCTGTGTCTGTGGCGCCTGTTCACATCCCAGTACGTACCACTTTGCTAGCAGGGCCTGGGCCTGGGATAAAGAGATTATGACCAGATTTTAGATCCCTTCAGGCCAGTCTATTGCACAGATTTTGGCAAGACATGAAAACCCTTAGAAACTGGAGTCAGAACCTTGCCATATCTTCAGAGAGATCAGAAACTCCATAGCCTGAGTAGCTGTGTAATGCAGAAGGTTTAGACCTTTCACACCAAGATTCACAGCACTGTCCTGGTGTCACATAGGTAGGCACCTTGGTGTAAAAGTGGTAGTGGTTATCCAGTACACAGGAAGCATTTTCCTGGCCACAGTGGCTCCACCTTGTTTAAAATATTGACCTGGGAAGCACAAAAATTCTGCTTGAACACAAAACTGGCTGCTTGAATTTTGTCATTAACACCTAGATGCTTTGAGTATGTAGACACCTAATTTCCATCTACATCCCTCTGAAGATCTTCCAGTGAGGCCCTTAGGTGACCTAATTTCAGGAGATGCCAAGCATCTCCACATTAAGCACATAGGTTTGCAGGAATATAAGCCAATGCTCTTCATCTGAATCCAGTGTGAACATGTAAAATTTATATGGAAAGAGCCATTCCTTGGCTAATGAGCAGCAGCCAGTGCTAAAAGCAAAGTGCAGTGCTAACAAATCATAGTTAGGAGGAAGCAAGTGTGGTTAATTATGCCACAGCCCATGGCAGTCAGTGGTAAGGCCAACTGCACATTGAACTGTCCCTGATTCTTCACCATGAAAAACTCTGTACCCAAGTGCAGCTGCTTTGACTGGGAGAAGTTGAAGTGTGAGTTAGAGCAAGACTCCATAGCAGGATTCTGCAGTTGCTGTGTTGCTCCAACCAGTTGTTAATCATCCTGGAATAATGCCAGGGCTTGAAAGCCAATCCTGGCTCTCTTTTGCCAGAGTTTTATAGGGACTTTAATCAAACACAGATGACTGGAGCTTTTCTTTGTGAAGCTCTGGTGCAATGGGCCATACCATCAAGCTTCAGTGGAGGAAGAACCTGAGTCATGGACAGTCCTGATCAAAGCAGCACTTAAAGTGTCCAAATGCTCCTTGTGTTTAATGTTGCCTAATCAGGGCCATCCTGGGGAGTTTATGTTGCCTGTGAGTTGCTGTGCTTAGAACTCTGATCCTCCCTGGGGCATAAAAAGCAGTTTTGTAGCCTTCTTGTCTGCTTCTCATTCCATTAAGGAATAAAGAGGACTTGAGCTCTTAACTAGAAAGAGGATCATAAAGCCAACAGAAATCCCTAATAAAATTGCTCATCTGGGATGCTAGTTCATGGAGTTTGGTGCATAGATATGCCTGAGGGAAAGACATGACCTCCAGAGGTCTCTTCCAGCCTACACTATTCTGGGATTCTGGGACATAAGATATTGCAAGGGCTCCAGGTGGTCCCAACCCTTCTGTCTTGGTCGTTCAGCAGCTGAAGTGGAACAAGACAGGTCCTGGGTGGACCTGGGGGCATGGCAAGGCAGACACAAACCTGTGCTGAGCAAATCATGGGCCAGAGGAGGTGGGAGAAGGGTCTGACTTGACAATGGGACCAGCATCAGTTTCTCCATTCAGCTTCCTCCTGTGGCTCCTGGTGTGCTCTCTGCAGCCTCCTCCTCATTTCAGTTCCTCAGGCATAAAATGGGGCTGATCAGATCTCTGTGGACTCTTCAGAGTTTCTTTGGAAGGTGATCCTTCAGTTCAGCAGCTGGGAGGCTTTTCCCAAACTGGGGGTAAGGTGAGAGCCCACAGAGACACACTGGACAACTTCTGAAAAAGCGTGATGTATCCCAGAGAAAGGAGATGGGCAGCAGCAAAGTGGGAGAGGACAAAACCACCTTTAATTTTGGAGCACAAAATTCCCTTCTTGCTTCTCCAGACCTGTTTATACATTCTGCCCTCTGGAGTCCACAAACAAAACCTTTTCCCTGTCTTTTCTTCCCCAGGACATCGATGGCCAAGCCCTTTTGTTGCTGACACTGCCCACGGTGCAAGAGTGCATGGAGCTGAAACTCGGCCCAGCCATCAAACTGTGCCACCAGATCGAGCGAGTAAAAGTTGCTTTCTATGCACAATATGCCAACTGACTCCACTTCATTTCTTTCTGTCCTCTTTCTTCCCTCTCTTTTTTAGCATTTCAGCTTGTTCAAGGGTTGTTTTTTTCCCACATCCCTTTTCTCTTCCAAGAACACGTGGAATTGGAAACACTGGGAATTAATCTGTAGGGGAAAAAGAAAACAAACACAATAGAAAGCAAGCAACAAATTGAACTCATTTTTTCTGTACTTGTAAAGCACAGCTAAAGCCTGCTGGCATCTCTCCTCATGAGCCTCACCAACCTGTTGCCCAGTGGTGCAAGGCCAGCACAGATCAGATGGTTTGTTGTTTGCTAAAACAAACCTACCAATGGCAGAAACATTTCCCAAGGAGAAGGATTGGACATTTCCAGATGGTGACAGTTTGTCTAGACCAATTTCTGGACATGAACATTTCTATTAGGCAACTCTTACACGCTTCTTTCATATTGAAATGTAAGTGATCATTTGTAGCATTACCTGGGGTTTACTGCAGATTTGATCTTGGTGATCAATGGGCTTTTTTTCTCTCCTGCTTCTCCAGTTTTGTGAAAGGAAAAAGTGTTCCACCAGTCATACTCTGTTTTATTCCTGGGTGATTTGTGAAAGAGGACTCAACTCATGGTGTCTACAGTGTTTGACAAAGCTGCAGCAAACTGACAGGAGTGACACAAGACCTGGTGTGCAGTGGCACGTCCTGAGCCATGCTGGCTGTGCACAATAAGCTGAATGTCTCTGTGCTGGGATCTGTACAATACTCCATTCTTGTACAGGAACATGCATGAAAGCTTTCGTAGTCAAGCCCATCCTCTTAAATCCAAGTCAGTTTAAAGGCCTGACTTTGAGTCCCACAGGGTGAAAAAAAAAATGCTGCTCAGATTTCATGATGAGACTGAGTAAATGCTGTTTTCATTTGCACCTTCATGAATCTGGCTGCTGAGAGGGGAGAAAAAGCACCAATCTTTTCAGGTGCTGAGGATCCAACCCAACAGAGTTTATATTTAACAACTGGACATGGCACTTAGTGCTGTGGTGTAACTAACAAGGTGGTGATTGGCCAGAGGTTGGACTCGATGACCATGGAGGTCTTGGACAACATTAGTAATTCTGTGGTAATATCTAAAGCTCTCAGATTGTCCCAGTGCCACCCTGGATAGTGGAACTGTGGCCTTGCTTCATGCTAAGCAGGGTAAGCACCAAAGAGGGTGAGGAGGTGAGTTGGACACCTTGGGGTTTGCCTCAGTTGTGTGTATATTCCCTATTTGCTTTGCACGGATGTATGACCCCATTAGTCACATGTGTTAAGCTTGAATTTGCTGTAACTCAGCAGAGGTTGGTGACATCACAGTGATGGGAAATTCTCCCAAAAGTAACAACCAAACTGGGACCAAGTCAGAATTTTGCTCTAACTTTAAGGTGCAAATGAATCTCTCCCTCAAAAAGTGAATTGGGTGATTCATGCTGGTTTAGCCTCTTTCCTTAGGAAACCACTGTCTTTGGCAGGCTTTTGTTCACAAATCATAAACAGAGCCCTGTTCCCTGGCCTCAGGGAACTCAGCTTGAAAATTGTACACAGCTCTGTTACAATGCCATGATGCCAAAGGCCACTCAGTGAAGATCTCTTCAAAAAGAAGCACCATTTCTAGCCCTAAATCTGAAGCCAGTGCTTATGGCCAGATAAGCCCCACCTCAAGCATATACCATATGGTAACAACAAACTTGGATCAGAGAATCCTGCTGACCACCCTGTGCTCAGAAGAACCTACTGTCTAACACCAGGCTGCAGTTGTTGTGTTCTCCTTCATCAGATTCCTTCTTTAATTCTTTGGAGTAAAGGAGGAACCTTCAGAAATGAATACTCTGGACTACATCTGACTCTACCCCAGAGAGTGTGTTAGGCAAGAAGTATTGACTCTGTTTGCCATGCATCACTCAGGAATTTCTAGCTTATCTTTCAGTGAGTTTCCTGGTTTGCCTCTGAGGAATGTGATGGGTGCAACTGCTGCAAGCTGGGCCAGATCCTGCCAGTTCATCAGAAACTTTCTTACATGGGACATCAGCAGGACTGGATCTGTTCTCAGCTGTTGCTTTACACTGAAGATCTTGTTCAAGTTTTAATCAACTGAAGGGAGAAGTAGTTGCCTCTGCATCAAATGGTTTTCTTTTGTTTCTCAGAGCTCAAGGAACAGGGTTCTGTAGCAGGGCATACACTGAAGCAATGGCTTTCAGACTGGATTTCCTACTGACAGTAGCAGTGAAATGTGTCAATGCAACTGGTTTGATAACTCCTTTGGATTCCTCTCAAGGTCCCTTAAAAATGTTGCTCCTTGTTTCCTCTCTGAAGACAAAAGGATTGTGCTCAGCAGCAGGAGGGCACAGCTGAGAGAATCTGAGAGAGTGTTCTCCAGGCTCCTCCTTGCTTCAGACCAATCCCAGGGTTACATCTGAGAGCAGGAGAGAGCTCCCAAAAGAATTCTGTAAGGAGAACTGTCATATGAGGACATTTCAAGGAAGGGAAGCAGAGTGGCTGTTTGCCCATCACCAGTCCCTTACTGGCCACATCCACCTTCTTCTGAGCATCCTTTGCTGCTCTGGTGTTCTTGGAGTATCTAGCCACTGGGATTTGTCAGAGACATGTAATGCTTTCTGGGACACATTGCAAAAATGTCATTTTTTTCCTCCATCAACCTTGTAACTGTAGATATTCCTATGGCAGCTAATTCCTCCTGGAGGCAGTTGGGGAGCAGACAGACACAGACTGAGAGCAACCAGCTCTGATCTTGGCTGAGCAGGGGATGGGTGAAGCATTGAGCTCAGAACATGGGAGTCTTTACTGATTGTTCAGGGAAGTTACATCATATTTAAAACTCACCTATTAAACGACAAAAAAAAAGGAGTTTTAATTTTATCTTGCACTGGCTCTTTTATTTCCTCAGGTTTCTCCCTGCTCACCATTTGTCTTTCAATTTATTGGTCTTCAGTGTTGCCTCATTTATCACTCTCTGGCTGTTCACAGAAGTTGATAACCTGAAATATTTATGCTAAAATTACCTTGGGTGGTAAATGCTTTATTGTTTCTTTTTAGTCTACAGGTTGGGAAGAAATATGAGATTGGGGTACTGTTGTGTGTTGCACCTATTGCTCTCCAGGAAAGCTGGAGCTTTTCTTAGACAATTTCATAAGAGAGTGGAAAAATGGATGATATATAGTTTGACTGCACAGTATGATCAGAAGGAATTAATTACTCTTGCCTGGACTTCATTTCAATTCTGGAACATTAGAAAGGCTTTGGAGTAATGTATTTCAAAGGAGATGATGGAAACCTGATCTTGCAAGGGTAAAATATTATTTTACTTTGCAATGTAAAAGTATAAACTGCTGGAAGTTTGGGGGTTTTTTTTGTTCAGACTTGATTGTAATTTAAATTCAGAGCTGGTGCAACTTCACAGATACACCAATAACAGTGTTCTTCTCCCCTCCCTGTTCTGAGTTTGATATCCAGGCCTGAAGTTTGTTGTGTTACCAGGTACAACAGGGCACTGCTGTGAAGTGCTGAACTCGTGGTTACCCAAGACTATTGCCAAGGGCTGAGGAGCATCTCTGCCCTTGTTCTTGGGCTATTGGGTGCTGAACTTCAGCACATTGACTCAGACCACTTTGCTCCCACAAGAAGGGTATGTAGGCACCTGTTATTGACCTCTCTTCAGGCACAGGACCAAGGATGGGCATTTCTGGAATAAAAGTAGGGGCTTGAAGAGTGGGTGGTACCTGCCCATCTTCATCTGCACTGACTTCTTTTGAGCTGTCAGGTTGCACAGATCCACTGTTCCTGTACCTGCTCCATTCCCAACCCTCTCAGCCCTTACCTTGACAGAATCAGCCAATTCCCAGTCTGCAGGCTCAAAGCATCTGTCTCTGAAATTGGATTAAAGCATTAACTTAGGGAATGTCCACAATTCCCTGACCAGTTGTCCTGCTTTCCTCGTGCTGCCATGGATGCTTCTCTGCCACCTTGAAAAAAAATGCTCTCTTTGTTTTGGGACTTTTCTTCCTTTTCCAGCTCAAAACCATAGCTCCCATCCTCATTCACATTTTTTCCTCAATGCCAGGATGACCATTCCCTGGCTTTTCCTACCTCTCAGAGGCATGATGGCCTCTCAGCTCTGAGAAGGATTTCAGAGTCTCCAGCTCCACCATGTTAACATTGTGCCATAGCCCTTGACAGTTTGGTCCTTCAGGGTGCAGAAACCTCCTAAAAATGCTTTGTGCCCTCAGTAAACACCGAATTAAAGGCTCCTGGCTGCACACCCTGTCCTTAGTGAAGCATCTAGTAGATGCATGTCCTAGCTGAGATAGCCTGACCCACACTGCCAGAGGTATTTGGATGTTTGCTAGGATTTACAAAGTTTCTCAGTAAGTTAGGCATGCAAACCCCTTTAATATTTCACTCTGGGCAAACAGATCATTTGCCTAAAACTGGAAAGTCACCATTCCTTGGCTTTAACCTTACAATGCTTTGCTTTCCCGAGTCGTGTGGTGTGGAGCAAACACCATCTCAGCTCTTTGAAGGCAAGGCAAGCAATGTCAGGCTGCCACAATCAACATTCAGTCACCTGAAAAGCCTTCCCTGGTCTTTTTGGGGCACAGAACTGAATCTGGCAGAGCTACAGTGCCATCCCAATGTTTTAGAAGCTCAGTACCATCAGGGCACTTCAAATACTTTGTGCTTTCTGGTGCAGTGTGTCTGGAAAATGATGAACTCAGACGGTTCCTCTCGGTTCCAAATTCAAGTGCCAACAGAGAAGAACATGCTGCAACTGAACACCATTCAAACCAGCTTTATTGCACGTGGATAAATATAGTCTCAAGGGCTCCATTTTGGTGCTATGTCACACTGTATTTTCCATTGTTTCGGATTACAAAGCTGATTCCCTACTCCAGGAAATATTTTCTGTAATCTGCAACATCTTGAACAGTAGGATTATTTTTTTCCTTGTGGCTGTACACTTTGT